CCCCCCCCGTTTACAGTGTTTTATCAAACAATGGACAACACTGATACATTATATCTGAAATAATATCTGATTCTGCACACAACAAAATGTTGCATAAACTCCCAGCTTCTGAGTGTTCAGGAGTTTGCAGCGTCTCTCAGCTGCTGTTTGTGATGAGACTCAGACAGAAAGTGGTCTTCACATCACGTCCAGCCCATCGTGTGCCGATAAAAGTTACAGAAAAGTTCTTCTCCAGATAAATGAAGAACCACTGGGACATTGTTCTGTCCTAAACATTACCCTAAGACTGCTTCACTGCTTCAAGTTGTTTCCTTAGCAACTTATAAACGTAAGTGGAGCAGGAGGTGGATTGTGATTGGCTGTTGTCACGCACATTTCTGCCATGTTTGATCGAGTAAGAGGCTCACAGCTGATCACTGTGATCGACCTGAATTTTTTTCGATCAATAATTGCGATCAAAAAATCGCCCAGCCCTAATATAAAGTATTCCATATTTGCATATTAATTTCCCAATTTATTATGTAATTGCATTATTTTTACCTAAAAAAAACCTGAATATAAGATGGATTAATAAAACTAACAGTTCAATAGAAAAATATCTGTTAAATTTAACAAATTTCAGCAAATTTCCAACCAAAATGGTTCAGTTTAACAGAACATTTAATTCTTTAGAAAAATACTGACATAACTGACTGCCATTTATTAATATTGTACGGTGTGGAAAACTACTAAATTGTTAAGGAACACTGGTTTTTATTAGTGCACTCCACTCCCACATATTTACAAGTTTTACAACGTTCAGTGTTTTCCATCGGGGGCCCTATGTGTACCTTTAAAACCTTCTAAAACAAGATTAAAACAAACTTGTTTATTTTGTTAGTTCTGAGTCAACAGCCTTTAAATTATTTTAAACCAAACCTTATATTTCTRCTGGCCTGCCTCACACCCAACCCTTCCCATCGTAAAGTCAGATGATAACCAGATAAGATTATGAAGGTGGTTCACTTGGGTTCATGCTGTGTAATGGACTTTGGTCAGTCTGGTGTGTCCCACTGCAGCCAGCTGTGGGTAACTTTGTTTCTTCGGCTCCTTCCAGCTCGTTGGGCTCCTGCTGATTGCGGTCGCAGCGTGGGGCAAAGGTTTCGGCTTGGTGTCCAGCATCCACATCATCGGCGGGGTCATAGCAGTGGGTGTGTTCCTGCTGCTCATCGCCATCGTAGGACTCATTGGAGCCGTGCACCACCACCAAGTCATGCTTTTCTTTGTATCCTTTAAAGGAGACCAATTATGGGTCCTAGAAATTTTTATGGTATGGTATGGTAATTTTTGTGGGCTATCCAGACCATGTTCATTCGAATTAATGCACAAAATAATTCTCAGATAATAAAATTTCCCATTTTTTAGTTCTGCCTGTTCTGACTTCTGTTCAGAAGAGCTGTTTATGTTAATGAGCTCTGTTGGTAACGCCCTCCAAAAATCTGTTGACAATAACTC